AGAAGAACTCGCAATGATTAATTTGATGCCACTTCTGGATATCTCCCGGCTGTCATCCGTCTGCCATGCGAATGCCGTGACGCGGAGGGGACAGGCAGGACGCGGGTGACGACGGCGTCCATACAGGCGAGAAAAAAAAAAAAAAGAAAATGTAAAGAAGACGACAGAAAATGAAACTTTCACCCAACGAGAGAAATCCTATTAGGCCGAGTGACATTTCAACTCTCCAAAACTAATTACGTTTCAGCTATCTTTGGCTGGGATGGGGGCCGGGCGAGGTGCCCGATATTCAGGCCTGGGGGCCCGGGGCCGAGAATTGTGCATCTTGGAAATGTGATTTCCTATTACTCCAAATAAGGATTTCATCTTTGTTATTAATAGGCTTAGCGAGCTGCTGCTGGGAAGAGAGGCAACACCAGCGCACCGGAGGGAGAGGGTAATACATGAAATATAATGGGGCATTTTATTATATATATTATTATTATAGAACATTTTATTATATATATTATAGAGAACGTTATTATACATATTATATAGCATTTTTTATTAATATTATTATATAGCATTTTTTTATTATATATATTATTATAATAGCATTTTATTATATAAAATTATATAGCATTTTATTATAAATATTATAAAGAAATTTATTATACATATTATATAGCATTTTATTACACATATTATAAAAAAAGCATTTTTATTAATATTATTATATAGCATTTTATTAGATATAAATTATATAGCATTTTATTATATATATTATTATATAGCATTTATTATATATAAATTATCAATAGCATTTTATTACACATATTATTATATATAGCATTTTATTACACATATTATTATATAGCATTTTATTATATATATTATTATATAGCATTTTATTATATATAAATTATATAGCATTTTATTACACATATTATTATATAGCATTTTATTACAATATTATTATATAGCATTAAATTATATATATTATTATATAGCATATTTATTATATATATTATTATATAGCATTTTATTATATATATATTATTATATAGCATTTTATTATATATATTATTATATAGCATTTTATTATATATATTATTATATAGCAAAATTATTATATATATTATTATATAGCATTTATTAAAAATATAAATTATATAGCATTTTATTATACATATTATTATAATAGCATTTTATTATATATATTATATAGCATTTTATTATATATATTATTATATACATTAATTTTATTATATATATTATTATATAGCATTTTATTATATATATTATTATATTATTACACATATTATTATATAGCATTTTATTACACATATTATTATATAGCATTTTATTATATATATTATTATATAGCATTTTATTATATATATAAATTATATAGCATTTTATTATATATATTATTATATAGCATTTTATTATATATAAATTATATAGCATTTTATTACAATAAAAAATTATATAGCAAATTTTATTATAAATTATTATATAGCATAAATTATAATATTAATATAATAGCATTTTATTATAAAAATATTATATAGCAAAAAAATATATATAAATTATATAAATTTTATTAAAAAAAAAATAAAAAAAAAATATACATATTATATAGCATTTTATTACACATAAAATAATAAATAGCAAAAAAAAATATTAATATATAGCATTTTAAAAATATAAATTATATAGCATTTTAATAAAAATAAAAAAAATAAAAAATTATAAAAATTATATAGCATTAAAATATTAACAATTATTATATAGCAAAAAAAATATTACACATATTATATATAGCATTTTATTATAATATTATTATATAGCATTAAAAAAATTAAAAATATTAAAAAAAATATAATTTTATTTATATAAAAAAAAAATATAGCATTTTATTACACATATTATTATATAGCATTTTATTACAAATATTATTATAAAGCATTTTATTACAATATTATTATATAGCATTTTATTATATAATAAAATTATATAGCATTTTATTATAAATATTAAAAAATATAGCAAAAATTATAAATATTATTATATAGCATTTTATTAAAAAATAATATTATTATATAGCAAAAAAATTATAAAATATTATTATAAAAAATTTTATTATATATATTATTATATAAAATTTATTATATATAAAAATATAAAAAAAATTTTATTATACATATTATTATATAGCAAAAAAATTATATATATATTATATAGCATTTTATATATATAAAATTATATAGCATTTTAATTATATATATTATTAAAATAGCATTTTATTATATATATTAATATAGCATTTTATTACACATATTATTATATAGCATTTAAAAAAAAATTACACATATTATTATATAGCATTTTATTATATATATTATTATATAGCATTTTATTATATAAAAATTATATAGCATTTTATTATATATATTATTATATAGCAAAATTATATATAAATTATATAGCATTTTATTACACATATTATTATATAGCATTTTTTAATATATATTATTAAAAATATAGCATTTGATTATATATATTATTATATAGCATTTTTATTATATATATTATTATATAGCATTTTATTATATATAAATTATATAGCATTTTATTACACATATTATTATATAGCATTTTATTACACATATTATTATATAGCATTTTATTACACATATTATTATATAAATTAAATTACATATATTATTATATAGCATTTTATTATATATATTATTATATAGCATTTTTATTATATATAAATTATATAGCATTTTATTATATATATTATTATATAGCATTTTATTATATATAAATTATATAGCATTTTAATTATAATATATTATTATATAGCATTTTATTATATATAAATTATATAGCATTTTTATTATATATAAAATTATATAGCATTTTTTATATATATATTATTATATAGCATTTTATTATATATATTTATTATATAGCATTTTATTATATATATTATATAGCATTTTTTATTATATATATTATTATATAGCATTTTATTATATATATTATATAGCATTTTATTATATATATTATTATTATATAGCATTTTATTTATATATATTATTATATAGCATTTTATTATATATAAAATTATATAGCATTTTATTATATATATTATATAGCATTTTATTTATATATATTATTATATAGCATTTTATTATACATATTATTATATAGCATTTTATTATATATATTATATAGCATTTTATTATATATCATAGAGCAATAAATAAATGTTTTACTAAAAAAGTATATTTTTTTCTTATTTATAATAAAAATATTTGTTATTATTACAGACCGTTCCATAGCAGATTTATTTCTTTAGGCAGCCCTCCTGCGCATAATCAGGATTTTGCACTTCCGCTGTGAACGCTCACAGCAGAAGCTGATCTGAATGGATTTCCACCGGCACCCGCCAATCGTCGGGCTCCCTTCCGGGGGGGGGGATACACAAGATCCATCACTGCCCCCCCTCCCCCCCCCTCGTCAGAAGGGAGCTCCGCCCCACAAAATGTCAGTTGGTGTATAAAGTCCTCCGCAGTCCCACTATAAGCCGCTTACTGGGATTATTTTTTAGCAACATTATGTAGCAGAATACATTTTGGCCCAAATTTATGAAGAAATTAGATTTTTTTTTAAATGTTTTAATGAGATGTTTTATAGCAGAAAATATAAATTATAGTTTTTTTTTTCTAAAATTGTTAGTCTTTTTTTCATTTATAAGTTCTTCCAGAAGCACATTTGTCAGGTCAGGCACTGATGTCGGGGGAGGAGGCCTGGCTCGCAGTCTCCGCTCTAATTCATCCCAAAGGTGTTCTATGGGGTTGAGAAAGTCAGGACTCTGTGCAGGACAGTCAAGTTCCTCCACCCCAAACTGGCTCCTCCATGTCTTTATGGACTTTGCTTTGTGCACTGGGGGGCAGTCATGTTGGAACAGGAAGGGGCCATCCCCAAACTCCTCCCCACAAAGTTGGGGGCATGAAATTGTCCAAAATGTCGCCTTAAGAGTTCCCTTCACTGGAACTAGGGGGGCCAAGCCCAACCCCTGAAAAACAACCCCACACCATAATCCCCCCTCCACCAAACTTTACACTTGGCACAATGCAGTCAGGCAAGTACCGTTCTCCTGGCCACCGCCAAACCCAGACACGTCCATCGGATTGCCAGACAGAGAAGCATGATTGGTCACTCCAGCGAACACGTCTCTTCTGCTCTAGAGTCCAGTGGCGGCGTGCTTTACACCACGGCATCCGATGCTTTGCATTGCACTTGGTGATGGAAGGCTTGGATGCAGCTGCTCGGCCATGGAAAAACCCATTCCATGAAGCTCTCTACGCACTGTTGTTGGGCTCATCTGAAGGCCACACCAAGTTTGGAGGTCTTTAGCTATTGACTCTGCAGACAGTTGGTGACTTCTGCGCACTGTGCGCTTCAGCATGCGCTGACCCCGCCCTGTCATGTGATGTGGCCTACCACTTGGTGGCTGAGTGGCTGTTGTTCCCAGTGGCTTCCACTTTGTTATAATCCCACTAACAGTTGAGCGTGGAATATTTAGTAGCCAGGAAATGTCCCGGATGGACTTATTGCCCAGGTGGCCACCTATCACGGGACCACGCTTGGAGTCACTGAGCTCCTGAGAGCGACCCATTCTTTCACCAATGTTTGTAGAAGCCGTCTGCATGTCTAGGGGCTTTATTGTATACACCTGTGTCCATGGAGGGGATTGGAGCACCTGAATCACATGGTATGGAGGGGATTGGAGCACCTGAATCACATGATATGGAGGGGATGGGAACACCTGAATCACATGATATGGAGGGGATTGGAACACCTGAATCATATGATTGGGAGGAGATTGGAACACCTGAATCACATGATATGGAGGGGATTGGAACACCTGAATCACATGATATGGAGGGGATTGGAACACCTGAATCACATGATATGGAGGGGATTGGAACACCTGAATCATATGATTGGGAGGAGATTGGAACACCTGAATCACATGATATGGAGGGGATTGGAACACCTGAATCACATGATATGGAGGGGATTGGAGCACCTGAATCACATGATTGGGAGGGGATTGGAACACTTGAATCACATGATTGGGAGGGGATTGGAACACCTGAATCACATGATTGGGAGGGGATTGGAACACCTGAATCACATGATATGGAGGGGATTGGAACACCGGAATCACATGATTGGGAGGGGATTGGAACACCGGAATCACATGATTGGAGGGGATTGGAAAACACCTGAATCACATGATATGGAGGGGATTGGAGTACCTGAATCACATGATTGGGAGGGGGATTGGAACACCGGAATCACATGATATGGAGGGGATTGGAGCACCTGAATCACATGAGGGAGGGGATTGGAGCACCTGAATCACATGAGGGAGGGGATTGGAGCACCTGAATCACATGATTGGGAGGGGATTGGGACACCTGAATCACATGATTGGGAGGGGATTGGAACACCTGAATCACATGATATGGAGGGGATTGGAACGCCTGAATCACATGATATGGAGGGGATTGGAACGCCGGAATCACATGATATGGCGGGGATTGGAACACCGGAATCACATGATTGGGAGGGGATTGGAACACCGGAATCACATGATTGGGAGGGAATTGGAACACCTGAATCACATGATTGGAGGGGATTGGAACACCGGAATCACATGATTGGGAGGGGATTGGAACACCTGAATCACATGATATGGAGGGGATTGGAACACCGGAATCACATGATTAGGAGGGGATTGGAACACCGGAATCACATGATTGGGAGGGGATTGGAACACCGGAATCACATGATTGGAGGGGATTGGAAACACCTGAATCACATGATATGGAGGGGATTGGAGTACCTGAATCACATGATTGGGAGGGGATTGGAACACCGGAATCACATGATATGGAGGGGATTGGAGCACCTGAATCACATGAGGGAGGGGATTGGAGCACCTGAATCACATGAGGGAGGGGATTGGAGCACCTGAATCACATGATTGGGGGAGGGGATTGGGACACCTGAATCACATGATTGGGAGGGGATTGGAACACCTGAATCACATGATATGGAGGGGATTGGAACACCTGAATCACATGATATGGAGGGGATTGGAACGCCGGAATCACATGATATGGCGGGGATTGGAACACCGGAATCACATGATTGGGAGGGGATTGGAACACCGGAATCACATGATTGGGAGGGGATTGGAACACCTGAATCACATGATTGGAGGGGATTGGAACACCGGAATCACATGATTGGGAGGGGATTGGAACACCGGAATCACATGATTGGGAGGGGATTGGAACACCGGAACATGATTGGGAGGGGATTGGAACACCGGAATCACATGATTGGGAGGGCGGGGCCAATACTTTGGGCAACATAGTGTACATATATATATATATATATATAAATTTATTTTTTATAAACACCTAAATATTACTTTTTTAAGATGATTATTTTTATGTAAGTCTAAATATAGTTTTTTTTTTTTTTTTATAATATTAGATATTTTTTTTTATTTTATGATTTAATTTTTTTTAATAATTTTTTAAAATTTTTTTGGTTTTATCTATTTAAGCGGACGCTATAACACACGTTATGCAGACATGCTCCACTCTTGTTCAACAACCTCCTGTTAAAAGGTGACAACACTCTATCCATGTCTACTGATTGTGCGCCTGTGTTGTCACCCTGTCATATGAGCTTCCAATGAAAACTAGCAGCAGCCCACAGCCTCTCTCAGATTCCCACCTGGTCCCCATGTAGTGTGTCCCTTCTTCCTTCCCTTCTTCCGGGGGGCAGCACTGCCCCCATGAAAAATGCCGCCCTAGGCAGATGCCTTGTTTGCCTTGTGGTAAATACACCCCGGGTTATAACACACGTTACATAGACATGCTCCACTGCTGAACTAGAGTTGACACTTGTTCAAGAACATCCTGTTAGAGGGTGACAACACTCTATCCATGTCTCTCAAATTGTGCTCCTGCGTTGTCACCATCATATGAGCTTCCAATGAAAAACTAGCAGCAGCCCACAGCCTCTCTCAGATTCCACCTGGTCCCCATGCCGTGTGTGTCCCTTCTTCCTTCCCTTCTTCTGGGGGGCAGCGCTGCCCCCATGAAAAATGTCGCCCTAGGCAAATGCCTTGTTTGCCTTGTGGTAAATACACCCCGGGTTATAACACGTTACACAGACAAGCCCCACTGCTGGACAAGACTGACCACTCTAGTTCAAGAACTTTCTGTTAAAGGGTGACAACACTCTATCCATGTCTCCTGATTGTGCTCCTGCGTTGTCACCCCGTTATATGGGCTTCTGATGAAGACTAGCAGCGGCCATTATAAACACACTTTACACAGAAATGCTCCACTTTTGTTCAAGAACCTCCTGTTAAAGGGTGACAACACTCTATCCATGTCTCCTGATTGTGCTCCTGCGTTGTCACCCCGTTATATGGGCTTCTGATGAAGACTAGCAGCGGCCATTATAACACACTTTACACAGAAATGCTCCACTTTTGTTCAAGAACCTCCTGTTAAAGGGTGACAACACTCTATTCATGTCTCTCAATTGTGCTCCTGCGTTGTCACCCTGTCATATGGGCTTCCAATGAAAATTGATTTTTTTTATTGGTCCTCCTCCTTTGGATAATAAAAAAAAAAAAAATTGTATTTCTAATTTTAAAAGTCAAACAAAAGATGTGGGTTCTCGTCACTCACTCCAGTCCTCACTTAGTCCTTCAGATTCCGTCTTCTCTCCCCCAGATCAGAACTTGGGAAGATACGGAGACCATCAGCTGAAAAGCCGGAGATCTTCCCCCCCCCCCTATAGGAGAGCCGAGGAGAGTCAGAAATAGCCGAGGAAGTCAGCTTACGTTTGGTGACATTAATTCACGTTTACAAACGAGTCGTGACAACCGCCCGCGGCGGAAACTTCCTCCTCCGACTGTCCAGAGGCTCAGAACTCGCTGCCAGAACAGCTCAACGGGATCCGGACTGCAGTACATTCATCTTCCCCATACAGGTTCTAGGAGCAGGACACACAGAACGTTCTAGTCCTACCTCCGGGATCCGACGTCACCCCCAAGAAACATTCCCGAAACCCCAACAAGATCCATTCAAGTCATACTGATAGAGGGAAAGGAAAGGGAAAAAGGAAGGGAAAGGGAAAGGGAAAGGGAAAGGAAAAGGAAAAGGACCATCGCTACATGGATAGAGAACATTCCCGAACCTCAACAAGATCTATTCAAGTCATATTGATAAACAGGGAAAGGAGAAGGGAAAGGAGAAGGAAAGGGAAAGGGAAAGGGAAAGGAGAAGGGAAAGGGAAAGGAGAAGGGAAAGGGAAAGGGAAAGGGAAGGAAAGAAGAAGGAAAGGAGAAGGAAAGGGAAAGGGAAAGGAGAAGGGAAAGGGAGAAGGAGAAGGGAAAGGGAGAAGGAGAAGGGAAAGGGAGAAGGAGAAGGGAAAGGGAGAAGGAGAAGGGAAAGGGAGAAGGAGAAGGGAAAGGGAGAAGGAGAAGGGAAAGGGAGAAGGAGAAGAGAAAGGAGAAGGAAAGGGAAAGGACTTCACCCCTACATGGCCAGAGAACATTCACGAACCCCAACAAGATCTATTCAAGTCATACTGATAGATAAATAGAGGGATGGGGAAGGAAAGGCCTCACCCTTGCTTTGACCGTTCTGCTCTCCTCCAGCTTTATGGTCTCCCCCACCTATCTGCTCTTACCCACTTTCTTCTATCTTCCTGCTCCTCTGCCACCTTTCTTCTCCCCCCCCCCCGCTTTTCTCCACCTTCCCACTCTCTGCTCTTCCGGGCCCCCCCCCCCCTCCACCTTCCAACTCTTCTCCCCTTCCCATTCTCCTCCAATTTCCTGCTCTCCTTCTCTTTCCACTCTACTTCCTTTTCCCCCTTTCCTCCACCTCTCCGCTCTCTTTCACATTGAGACTCTTCTCCATCTACTGGCTCTATTCCACCTTCCTGCTCTCCTTCACCTCCGTACTCTTCTACTTTCCTCTATCTTATGACTTTCCTCCACCATTTCAATATCTGCCAACTTCCTGCTCTCCTCCACTTTCTTGCTCTTCTCCACCTCTCACTCTGCTCCACCTTTCTGCTCGCTTCCTCTTCCAGTTCTTTTTACACTTCCTGCTCGCTTCATCCTTCCTGCTCTCCTTCACCTCCCCATTCTCCTTCAACTTTTTGATCTTCTCCACCTTTCTACTCTCCTCCACCTCTCCACTCTCCTTCAACTTCCCTCCAACTTTTTGATCTTCTCCACCTTCCTGATCTCCTTCACCCTCCCTCCAACTTTTTGATCTTCTCCATTCTCCTGCTCTCCTTCACCTCCCCACTCTCCTTCAACTTCCCTCCAACTTTTTGATCTTCTCCACCTTCCTGGTCTCCTTCACCTCCCCACTCTCCAACTTCCCTCCAACTTTTTGATCTTCTCCACCTTCCTGCTCTCCTTCACCTCCCCATTCTATTCTCTTTCAACTTCCCTCCAACTTTATGATCTTCTCCACCCTCTCTTCACCTCCCCACTCTCCTTAAACATTTCCCCATAACTTTTTGATCTTCTCCACCTTCCTGCTCTCCTTTACCTCCATACTCGCCTTCAACTTTTTGATCTTCTCCACCTTTCTGCTCTCCTCCACCACCCCACTCTCCAACTTCCCTCCAACTTTTTGATCTTCTCCGCCTTCCTGCTCTCCTTCACCTCCCCACTCTCCTTCAACTTCCCTCCGACATTTTGATCTTCTCCACCTTCCTGCTCTCCTTCACCTCCCCACTCACCTTCAACTTTTTGATCTTCTCCACCTTCCTGCTCTCCTTCACCTCCCCACTTGCCTTCAATTTTTGATCTTCTCCACCTTTCTACTCTCCCCCCCCCCCCCCCCCCCCACTCTCCTTTAACTTCCCTCCAACTTTTTGATCTTCTCCATCTTCCTGCTCTCCTTCACCTCCCCACTCTCCTTCAACTTCCCTCCAACTTTTTGATCTTCTCCACCTTCCTGCTCTCCTCCACCTCCCCATTCTCCTTCAACTTCCCTCCAACTTTTTGCTCTCTTCCACCTTTCTGCTCACCCCAACCCTCTCTTCTTTCACTCCTCCACTGTCCTCCTTTCCCCCCACCTTCCACCAAACAAAACCTTTAAACCTGGCAGATCCTCTAAATAAATATGAATAGAAGTCGTCTGAACATCTCACAAAAGAGGACAAACTCGGCCTCATTGGTCACCTCGTCACGAATATAAGATTTCGGTGCATTTGCTCCCGATTCCCCGGTCACGGTAGTCGGGGCCGTTAGTTGCTGGTGATACATAAAAGCCTTGTAATGACAGAATATCTCATTAGGACCTGCATGGAGTCTGTCCGGCAGGATTGTATTTCCTTGTTTTCCTCTGAATATTCAATTTTGGGCTTTTGCTGCTCAGTCCACAATATCATTATCACAGATAATGGAGGAACACCGGAGGAGGCACAGAAGTCGTAATGAAATAACACAGAAGAGGACAGATTGCACTTCCAGAGACGGGAACTTGGGTAAAAAAAACAAAAAAAAACCCCCAAAAACCTCCTAAAAAGTATGGTAGGGATCAGTGTGGTGCCGGGACAAGGTCATCCAGGGCCCAGGGCCACACTGCCCCCATTCATCATTTGCAAGCTTAGGGGTTCCTACGCCCAGCAGCCACTCACTACCCCAGTCCCTTGTAACAGAAGGAGGGCGCCACCATCCCTACAGTAAACCACTGCGACCAAAAACACCCTCCTCTGCAAGCTGACATGCCAAAATGAGCTGCGGGGCCACACTGCGGGGCCACAGCATCCACACAGAGGTCAGGTGATGGTCTCGGAAGAACATCCACATGCAAAGCCCCCTCCCTTCATCTCCAATCAGAACCCTGGAGGTGAGCATGGGAGGAGGTGACACGGGAACTAGAGAGCAGGAGGTCTCGGGAGGATCGAAGAGAGCGGTTTGGTTGATATTTTGAGGCCAGGTTGGTGATGTAGCCGGAGGCCGAGTTGTGGATGGCTTTGTAAGTTGTTAGCATTTTGAATTTTATTCGATGGGCGGATGGAAGTCAGTGGAGGGATTGGCAGAGAGGGGTGGAGGACACTGAGTGGAGGCCAGTGGAGGGATTGGCAGTGGGAGGTGGAGGACACTGAGTAGAGGCCAGTGGAGGGATTGGCAGAGGGGGTTGGAGGACACTGAGTGGAGGCCAGTGGA